ATTTCACTGGTATTAGTATCAACTTCTCAGATTTTAGTATTGTGACGACATTCGTTTAGATAATATTAAAGTGTAAGAATTACTTTCTTTGTTCATAATTCTTTTGACATTTATGTCTGTTAAAATTAAAAGCGTAAATTGAATAAGCTCCCTCCTAGAAGTAAATAAATGGTCCCAGCAAACATACCACAGCAAAAACTATAGTCTGAGAAATGTCAAACATGATTAAAGGCAAGTGAACAGTCAGTAAAAAAAAAGAAAGAAAAAAAATACACAATTTACAAGCATAGATAAAATAAACAGTAGTATTCAGGTACATAAATTGAATAATTAAGTGTAAAATGACACTGCATAGTATTCACTGTATGAATTAAATTTAGATTAATCTTTGTTATAGCCGTTTTGTTGTTTTGTTAACATTAGTGACATATTCAGCAGCACGTATTTATAGGCTGCTGTCCCTTTAAATCCACGGATCCAGTATAATGATACACATCCAATTTCTTTCTCAGCTGTTTACATTCATTTAAAACATAACCAACTGCGTTTACGAAAATGATCGTCGAGATGGGTACTATTGACATAATTCTGTGTATATGTGTCTGTTCAAACATGAGGTGGAAATGCGAAAGACAAATCAACTCGGTCTGAAATGCGTCTCTCTGTGTGCGCACGCTTTGCACGTGTGCGGCAGAACTGAAGAGACCCTGTGTGAGATGCGGCTTGTGCGCGCGCTTCAGGTGCGAGTCAGACAGCAAGACGAGACGGCAAAGAGTTGTTTTCTGCTACTTATTGCACTTAATAACTGTTTTTAACATCAGGCAATTCTCTGCTATATGCGTCGAACTAAAACTTTGACCTTTTGCAACGTTTTGATTTAAGTAGCCTATTATTAAAATGATAATGATATCGCACGCCGTTGCGATATGCATATTGCGATATTTACATTTGCGGTATTTCGATAATTTCAATATATCGTGCAGCCCTACTAAGCTGCAGCTAAAAGTGCTACCGCCAGACCCCGAGATCGGCTGAATGGATTCGAAAATGATAAAACTCAACTGTTTAACTCTAGGGGAGCTGGAAAATGAGCCTGTTTTCAAAATAGTGGCATGTTCCTTTAAATGCATGTAACGCAAGTTGCTGTTGGTCGCTAATAAGTATGCGACTTTGTGTCATTGTTACAGGTATTTATGTTTCCACAAATCAAAATTTGCTTACTTAGTGTTCAGTAAAAGACAGTATGTACTTTTATTCTGGCCTGTGAGTATGTATAATACATTGTTTGTAATACAGCATTGGGACATACTGCCACATCATAAAATTAAATCTTGCAATCAGTCTTGTACTGTTAACGTTACATGTTAGCATCTTTCTAAATTCTCTACATTTCATTCTTACTCAACTTCTTGGTTCATATACTTGTAAAAAGTGATGAGGAAGGCTGAAGCTGCCATTGCAGATTTTACAAATATGAACCATAGAGCCAAGTAAGAATGGAAAATTCCAAAAGTGAACCATCACTGATGCTGCCTCTTCCATTGCACAATGGTTTGTTGGCATTATTAGCTGAAAAGCATGCATACACTGAAAAAAAAATGGTGTAGAAACAATTTTCACTCAGAAATTGCTAGTAAATTTCACAAATTATTAGAAAGAAACAGCAAGTAACACTGAATTAAACAGGAAGACTGAAATAGTATTAGAAAACAGTCACACTTTATTTTAAGGTCAAATTCTCACTATTAACAAACCATTAACTAAGACTTTTGGCTCAATAAACTCCTAATTTGCTGCTTATTAGTTTGTACGGTAGTTGTTAAGTTTAAGGTATTGGGTAGAATTAGAGATGTAGAATATGGTCATGCAGAATATCTACTTTATAAGCACTAATAAACAGCCATTATGTTAATAATAGGCATGCTAATATGCAACTAGTTAATAGTGAGAATTGGACCCTATACTAAAGTGTTACCTAGAAAACATACTCAGTAACAGTTTAGTTTAGAGAAAAAATTGCATATTGGCTGTTTATTAGTAATTATAAAGCAAATATTTATGCCTTAATGTGCATGACCATATTTGTGATCCCTTAATACTATCCCATACTTAAACTTTACAACTACCTTATTAACTATTAATAAGCAGCAAATTAGGAGTTTATTGAGGCAGAAGTCATAGTTAACAGTTAGTTAATAGTGAGAATTGGTCCTCAAACTAAAGTATGACCACATACTGTAATAATCTATGATTATTGCAACTTCAAAAAATATACAGTATGTATATATATATATATATATATATATATATATATTACAGAGTAAAAGCTAAAAGTATACAATCCACCCAACTTTGGCTTACTTATTTCAATGCACTAATACATTTGATCTTGCCTACTAAAAGATGGATAGCATAAAAATTGGAAAACAACATTTGAAAGTCAATGTCCCTTTAAGGAAAATCAAAAAGGCAGATATTTCCAGTCATGCAAATAAATCTCCTTGGTATTTCAAATCGGAAATAAAATTTGATTGTTTTACACACACACACACACAAACATTTTTTCAGGCTGGTCCAGCTAATGCTAAACTAAATCTACCCGTTAAAATGGGATTGCTCATGTCACTTCGAAACCACACCCTCTTGTCACTGGTATTTTTCTATAGGGAAGTCAAACTCCCTCAGGCGAAACAGACGTGTTGAGACATTGGCCTTAGCTCCCTCTCACAAGTAGGCCACGCGTGACCGAGGGATCCGTGGCAGCCATTTTTCAAGAAAGCTTTCCGTTAGCATATGGGAGCCAGCACTGCCAGGATAGCTGAAGTAAACATGTTTATCTACGCTGAGCTCCTGAGCGTTCCCCTCAAACTGGCCAGCTTTAAACAGTTTGTATATCTGACAGTGGGGGGAGAATGTGGCTCCAAGATGAGGTACTGCACTGAACAAGCACATTATGTTTGCAGCAGCGCTGGAAGTGATTACCAGTGTAGTTCATTATTCAGTTAGGTTGGAGGGGGGGAGAGCATGAAGGCCCAAACCATTTAGTGGTCAGAAAGGGGAGGCTTTTTTCCCTCTCTCTGTGAGTCTGTTCTGCAGTGTCAGCATTCAGCACACAAACACGGAATTCAGTAAAAGCTCTCTCCCAGAGCGTTTCTCCCCCTTTTTTTCCCAACAGCCTGCTCCCTTCCCCCCTCGTGAACTGACATTCTAGAAGAAACATATGCTGCTAGTCCCACATCACAACAGCTTGTGCTGGCTGAATGGAAGCAGGCACGGAGAGAGGAAGCTGTCGGGAGGGTGGGGGAAGGGGGGGGAGTGGCACACGGAGTAACGGGGAAAGTCTCTAAGAATGAAAGTGCTCGGAGGTGTTGCATGTTGGATATCCTCGGCGGTTCATGTGAAGCTGGGTGGAGAATTTAACATTTTCAGAAGGAAATTGCATTCTCATGGTTTATGACCCCGGTTTATGGGGTGATTTGGAGTAGTGGCCAAAACTCAGGGCTGATAACCAGAAAATTGTTTGTTCGAGCCTTCTAAAGTCAAAATAATATGAAAATGGACTATTTAGTTTCTTAATACATGTTCCTTCATAATATCGGCAGTTATTTTAGTATCTTCGAGATACTATTGTAGTTTTTATTATTATTTTGAAATTTTTTTTTTTCATTTTAATTTTTTGTTTTGTAGTTTTGTTGTAATTTTTTTTTATTTATTTATTTATTATTTTGTTGTCTATCATTTATTATTATTATTATTATTTATTTATTTTTTATTTAAAATGAGAAATGTTGAGAAATGAAAAAAGTATTTTAAGTAAATAAATAATTTGTTAACACTTGTTTTATTTCAAGTAACGCTTTTCTTATGGTTTTATTTAACTATAGTAACCCAGCTTAATGGTCCATGCTGTTCCCAAGAAAAAAGAATTGTTTAAAAAAAAAAAAGTTTATGAAAAGATCATACAACTTTCCTTTTCAGCTCGCATCACAAATCCCTTTTTGACATTTTGAATCCCTCCACTCCAACTACTATAAAATCAAATATCAAGTTTTTTTTTTGTCTTGAATATCTTATTTTCATTTTAAAATATGTCAGATTAGTCACTTGTTCAGTCCCTTTGGATAAAAGTGTCTGACTTGTTGGCTTTTAAAAAAATTACCGTTAAGAAAGGGACACTTGGATAATAGATCTGCAAAATGACTACATACATAAGTTTTTGGAAGGCTATTTTTTTTCTACTTACTTTGTGATTTTTATGTATTTATTTTTGATTAGATTTCACTACTGTATGTTGCTCAAGCTCCATTGCAGAATAGATGTTAGGTCATTATTTAATTTGATAGGAATATGATGGCAGTATTGCCCTGGATGTTGACAAGAAGGGGCAACTCAAGACCAGGCAGCTGGGTTTGATATTGTTCTTCTTTCAACAGAGGAGTTTTATGGTTTAATGCAATTTTATGGAGATGCCAGGTGGTTTTAGGAAATGTTTGAAGGTTAAACCTTCTAGTCAGAAACTTTTTCCTCAAGCTATTGGATTTCAGTTACAGTAATCTTAGATGCATATCTTCAAAATTCATAAAGTCATAATTCTCCATACAAAAAAAATTAAGCAATTTAAGGAGCTTAATTTTCGTATTCCCACTTTGACTGTCATTTTAATGAAAATAACAAATTCAGTTTTACGGTGCTATGTAGTTAAAGCTGAAGTGTGTAATTTTTTCAACATTAAAATACTTTCTCTAATGCCGGTTTAATGTGTAGAGACAACTATGAGTAAACCATTCACTGAATTCACCAAAGAGGGCAACCTCTTTTAAACTTAGCTCTGTTTTTATGAATGGTTGGAAATGTTCAGGCTCAACCAGTGCCATGAACTGAAAATGATCCTACCACCAAACAACTGTATCACCTGATATCTCAGTGACAGATATCGGTTCCAGAGAGAGAGTAACCACAACTCTGTCTTTGCTTATTGTCACTTCCAGGATTCACCCTAGTCTGCTCCAGGCTTCGGCTTGGAGGTCCCAATCGCCACCATTGATCCCAGCAGCTGGAGTGGCAGTGAAAGCTCTGCCGAGGATATTGAGAGGATGAGTGACTCGGCAGACAAACCCATTGATAGCGATGCTGAGGGGGTGTGGAGTCCTGACATAGAGCAGAGCTTCCAGGAGGCACTGGCCATCTACCCGCCCTGTGGACGCCGCAAAATTATCCTCTCGGATGAGGGCAAGATGTATGGTAAGAACTCGGTGGCTCTTTCAGACTGTTCAAAATCAGTTTCAACAGTAGAGAGAAAAATGCAAGGTGTCGATTTTGGTTTAGCTCAGTTGACAATTTATAAAATGGCAAATAACACATTGTCCTTACCAGCTGCACATGCTAAATCTCTTTAATGGTCATCTGAGGTTTTGTCTGAAGCAGTCACAGCCATTGATCACAAGAGTTTGTCACTTAGGATCACTTGGTTTCCAATTTTTGTCGAACTGGGCGGCCCCAGACACAGTGACATCTAGTTGGTCCAAAATCTTGCTCAATGGCTGTTTGTTAAATCAACAGGAAATCAATATTGACCCAGTTTCGTAATACATGTTCCTGGCATTGTTGGCCACAATTCAGGACATTAAAAAAAAATAAAAAATGAAGACAGGCATAAATATTAGTATTTTAATTTTACAGTAGTAATGTAAAATTATTATTATTGTTATTATATAGCCATATGATTTTTTTAAATCTCATTTTAAATCGCAATTTTATTTTTATGAGAAAAATCATTTCAATTTGATTTGAAATCAGTTTGATTTTTCAAAAAAATCTGCATATTTCATGCAGACCTAATGCGTGGTATATTGTTACAATAAAAGAGGCTTTTTTAAATAAGTGTTTAAATATTTTATTTAATTTATTTATACAAAATAGTGTCACATTTAACATCACAAATCAGTAATTATTACCTTATATTATATATTACCTCTGAAAATTGGACAAAATATTATTATTGGTGCATGCATTGTTTCTTTCGTAATCTTTCATCAAATTGTAGTAATTTGCTTTATTTCTGAAACAACTTCAACTGATGCAACCAAGCCCTCTTATTTTTCACACCTTCAGCCACTTTATAAGAACCAATCCATTCCTGGTGTATAAAATCAAGACTTAGATTTTTTTTCTTGTTGAATATCCAGTTTCATGTCCCATTATTAAAGTAAAATAGATTGGCAACACTGTTTTCATGTTAAATATGTAGAAATATGCAATTTTTACTGTGGACAGAGATAATACTTGTCGCTGGTAACTTGTCAAGTTGCGTCTGGTTAAGACACATTGTCAGTGTCACATGACAAAGTAACAAGACAAATTCCTGACGATGTAGCCTCAGCACTCAGGGTGCTTGGATCGTCCCAGAGGTGATCGCTGGAGGTGAGAAGTGAAACGGAGGGCTCCGAGGAATCACATGAGAGTGAAGTGGTGAAGAAGATTAGAATTATTGTCAATCAGGAATCTCCGAAGTCTTGGCGGGCCTCTGCAGCAGGCTTCCCATTCGTTCGCTTGTTGTTGAGTAGTGGGAGTGTAAGTAAAGCAGCATGAACTATTAGTCAGGAGCAGATGGTACTGCGGCTGTCACCAGCTGTGCCACCCCCTCCTCCTCCTCCTCTCCTGCTCCTGCCATCCTCCCCTTTTCCTCCATTCCAGGCTGGGTGATGTCATGGAAAGAGGGAATATTTTCTTTCCGCGGTGTTGGAGTCCCTCACAGCTTGTCAGTGTCAAGTGAAAGCAGAAGGCCCTCGGGGCATTCGTTTGCAGCTGTCATGTGACCCCTCCGGCCAAATGAAATGTAAAGTTTAGGAGTGGCAGCAAAGTCTCTCAAGCTGCTACTACAAAAAGCATTTCGGGCCACACTGCCACGGAAACACCAAGTGCAGGATTCAGTAGTGCTCACTGATATAAAGAGGGCTTTATTTTGTAGTTTTCTGCATTATATTATATAAGTAAATGCAGAAACAACAAATTATTTACTCTACCATTCAAAAGTTGGGAATCTTTAAGATTTGTCAATGTTTTTAATTAAACCCTTAAAAAAAACCTAATACTGTGAAATATTATAACTATATAAAATACCTGGTTTCTTTGATGGCAAATCTGAATTATCCTTCAGAAATCATTCTAATATGCTGATTTAGTTCTCAATAAATATTTATTTGGTAACACTTTATTTTAAGGACCAATTCTCACTATGATCTAGTTGCATATTAGCATGCACATTACTAGCATATTGGATGTTTAATAGTACGTATAAAGCACATATTAATGCCTTATTCTGCATATTTTAGATCCCTTGATCCTACCTCATAGCTAAACTTAACAGCTACCTTATAACTATTAATAAGCTGCAAATTAGGAGTTTATTGAGGCACAAATTGTAGTTAATAGTTGATTGGTCCCCAACCATTTCTTCTTATTAATGTTATAAAAAAAAATACTTTTTAATATTTTAATATATTTTACTTTTAATATATATTACAACTCGTGTTTGTAAAAAAGTAAAAAAAACTTTATTTACATATATATATATATATATATATATATATATATATATATATATATATATATATATATATATACATATTTGACCATTTAAATAATTAAAATGTATCTTACATCTTACATTTTTGTTGCATTCGCAGATTTGTCACTGCTTCTTTAGCATAAACCATAAAAATGAAAATAAAATTAATTAAATTTTTTCAAGGTAAATGCATTAAACCATTAATGGAACTGCATACTTATATTTAAGATAATTCTTTGAAAAGGAATCTTAACATACAATTTTGCCTCTCACATAAAATAATATTGTTTTAAATGTAGGTATTTTTATTCAAAAAAGATAGTGATTCAGAACAGGAATTTTTGCATTCATGAACAGAATTTTGTACAGTCTCTCAAAACAATCCTGAATTTTCTATTACGGTTTGCTATCATTTGTACAGCGGAAGTAATATGTGAGCCAATATAGATCCAACAGGAAATTGTAATGACAAAATCACCTGACCGCGTAACCAGTAGAGAGATGGTGTGCAGCGCTGGGGTTGCTGACCTGTCTGAGAGTGCAGAGATTGACCAGAGGTCAGCTTTGGCAGCTGTTTAAGGTGTCTGGTTGCATGTTTGCTCAACAGCGAAGTCCATTGTAGCCTCAGGAGTAATGTTTCATAGTCCTCCAGACCACAGGCAGAGACAACAAGAAAACAGCACAGTGTCACGGGCCGCATTGTTACACATGTGATACGTATTACAAGCTGATGATCACATATTGTAGACAAATCAGATTTGTACACAAATCACTGACAGCAAAGTTTCAGTATGCTATAAAAGCATATTGATTCAGTTACTCCTCAAATGAAGACCTCAAGATTGTTTGTTTGGGAGGTTTTTGGTTGTGCTCATAATCTGTTACAGAAGGGCTCAAATAATACATACCAAACTGTATATTTATCATTTTTTAGATAAGTTCAGCACAGTACCACATGGGAGAATATTTATTATAATATTTATGTGGAAAATACTGTGGAACCGCGTGTATTTTGAGGCTTCAGAGTGCCGCGAAACGAACACTAGCATACATATAACTAGAAAATACGACGCTTTAAACCATATACTCTTCTTAGACAACATACGGAATTTTACACATATTAAACCAATAAATACAAATATTTACTTACCAAATTTGTAGATTGAGAAAATTAAAAAACTTTGTGGAGAAGCTCACCAAGATGGCTGACGAACATCTTCTGTCTGCAACAGTCTCCACAAGTTCTTGCGATAAGTGATGTTGGAAACATGATGATATTGTTATTGAATTGATTCAACACATTTTGATAACACAAGTTGAGGGGGCAAATCTCTAGTTCAGTCTTAAACTTAAAATGTTAAGTTGAATGAACAAATTCAGAAACTGCACGTTGTGTCAACTTAAAAAAATAATTGAATCAACTAAACTGCGAAATATTTTTTTACAGTGTAAGCAGTTAAAGGGGTCATATGATGCTTTTTTAAAGATCAGTATTTGGTGTAACAGAATATGTTGACATGCTTTAATGTTCAAAAAACACATTATTTTTCAAATACTGTACATTATTTAGGTCCTCTATGCCCCGCCTCTCTCAAACACTTCATTTTCTACAAAGTCCCTCCTTCCGACAAGCACAGTCTGCTCTGATTGGCCAGCTGACCCAGTGCATTGTGATTGGCCGAACACCGCAAGCACTCATCGGAAATGTAACGCCCCTTACCATAATCGCGAGCTTCATCTTTCAAAATAAATGTAAAGACAGAGCCCGAAAGGGGAACAGAGTCTCGTGACAGACACAGTGATGAAGCTGGTATGTGTTTGCAGTACTCAAGCCACGGTTAAGACAGCTGACTCCACTTTGATGTGACCCCCCCTCCCTCTCTCTCGCTCTCTCTCTTGCGCACACACACACACACGATGCGCAAAACTCTGCATTTGGACAGTCAATAGCAAATACTTAAACTAATAACAAAACAGTAGCTGATTCAGAAGCGCCAGATTGTCAGAGCAAAGTCAGAATTACCTCCTCTCCTAGGTTCACAAAACGGTCGTCCATAAAATGCATTGCTGTTCTGTTGTAAGTAATCTTAAAGATTCCTAAATGCATCTACTTTCGGAAGGCCAAATAAAGTGTTTTTGCTTTCACCTAGAAACACACAGCGTCTCCCTGACATGGCTGCTTCAACACTAACTGCGGTTACTGAAACCACGCCTTCTTTCTTTGCGTGAACATTTGGGCCGCATTATGCAAATATTTCCACATAGTGAGGTAGATATTTGGGGGCGTGTTAGAACGAGCCGTTTTAGGGGGGCGTGGCAGAGTCTTAACTTTGATAAAGAATATCTCTTTGGTTTTGAGACTTTAGTCTTTGCAACTTCAGGGATCTTATCTATGCACAATCAGCTTGTAACACTCCAAAGAGAAAGGAAAACTTGAAATCGCATCATATGACCCCTTTAACAGTTTATTTGGCGTTAAGTGCATTATAAAGTTGCTTTGAAATACAAATCACAGCACTTTTTCAGATGATAAAAAACGGGACTTGTATTCTGGAAAATATGGTACATGTGTATGTTTTGCCAATGTAAACCTTTTTTTATTATTCGAGTGTTGTATCTAGAGTAGAGCTCTGAATGGCAGTGTTTGGGCTTTTACAAAGTTTGGCGGGACGCA